CTTCCAATTTCCTTTGGCAAATAATACAATATCATCATCCATTATAAGAAATCAAAAGAACATTTTAAACCAAAAAAACAACTTTTTTTCTCAACCATTTTTTTTTTTCATGATTAGAATTTTGTCAATTCTGTTTTATCATTTCAATGTTAATACATACAAGCAAACGAAAAGCTCCCAGTGATGACAAAGTAGAGATTCTTGCAAAAAAATGCAAAAATATTAATATAGTAATAGTAAAAAATCGGGACAAAATTTTAGTCTGTTATTAGAGTGGACTATAGTTTTTTTAACATGGCTAATTCTTTGACTAATAAATAAATAAAAAAAATCTTTGACTACAGTCAAATCTCGCTTCAACAAATCTATGGGGACAGACACATAAGAAAATTGCATCTAAAATTCATTGTACCAAAATTTTCAACAAATTTTATGTGAAGCAAAAATTCATTGTAATAATACTATAATACTGTGTTTTACCTTTTGAATAAATTATTTATTTTCTTTCTAATTTTGCCTTGGACAGCTTGGACAGACATTCTTTAAACCTTTTGAGTAATTCTCCCTCTTAACGAGCATTGTAATCGACAAGTATCACATAAATCTGTTCTTGGACTCAGTTTGAATCTCTGATCTTTTGGATAATTTTGGTCAACTAGTTTTCTTTGGTTTGGACACCATTACAAAAATGTTGACAATTATCATATAAATCTGTTCTGGAACTCATAATTTGAATTTCTGGTGTCAGTTCATGTCATAACTTTCTGAATGTATCAAGGACTTCAAACTACTATCTTCTTCCAGACCAGCAAGAAATCTCTGTGCACTGATTTATAACTCATTTCTGCTGGTAAGAATGTAACTGATTGGTTATTTTATTTATGTTTTTTCCTTGACTTGGTAATCCATGAACTTTGGCATAATTTTCCAGAAAATTCTTTACAACCTCTACATTTTTTGTCAATCAACACTCTGACAAAAATTTAACCTTCACTGTTTTCGGGTCCTTGTCAAACAAGAATGCAAAGTTGTTGACTATTTTTGTATTATCTCATGCCAACAGCACATTTATTTGTTTTAACAGTTTACAATATAATACATAAAAGTTCCTTCGCATCTTCAGATACAAAATGAAATATTAATGTAATCAATTTTTTAGAGGCAATATAAATACTGGCAGGATTTAGTAGAAATTAAAATTTTAAACAGTTTACCCTCGCTCGACTTGATAGTTTTTTTACATCATGAGAGTTTCGATCATGCACTTTTTACACAATAGAAGTATAATCTTCCGACTCGAAAATCAAAAAAAAAAAACAAGCCATTAAAATATCGATTTCTGTAATTCACTATAATATTAATTAGATCATCTCTACTTTTTTTATGATAAAGATACGTTTTTTAGCTTGTAATCTAGTTATATTCACATATATATTAACAGATTAAATTTGTTTTTGAATAAATAGTTACTTGATAATAAAAATAAAATAAAATATTTTTTCTTTTTATCTCTATATTAGTGGTGGTGATGGTATACACATAAGACAATAATTGATCATTATTATTAATAATCATGTGCTTGTCTGTCATAATTAGCACCACCAGCTTTTCTAAGTTGTGTAATAATCTCTCTTTCGCTCAACTCTGATTTCTCATGTGCATTAACTTCTATAGCATATGCCTAAAAATAAATGAATTAATAATATGAATAAATCAGCCAACCAACCAATCAATCCCAGTCAATGACATATCAATAAATGTATACAACCTGAAGAACTCTCTTGACATCCGAAACGTGAACTGATAATTTTGCCTTTCTCATTATTTTGACATTGCTTCCGGTCCATGTCACAAAAATAAATTTAGTACGTACCGACAATTCATCATTTGACACGTTGACACGTACCTAAAAAAAGGGCTAATGTTACCAACCAATTGAACCTCATTCAGAAAATTTAAGATGTCATTTAGATTTAAAATGATTCTCTAACTCACATATGCAAATCCTGCTTCCGATTCATTAAGATTTTCAACAAGTTCGCTTAGTCCTCCTGTTCCTTTGGCTTTCAATATTAATTTATCAGATTTGTTGGATTCATATTCTAAAAGTAACCTATAAATATATATAAAAAAATTTTTGTACATGTATATATAGATTTATTATTATAAATTTATATTTATTTTTACTTACCAATTGGTTTCATTTTTATCATTTCTAACTTCTTCATACGTTTCTCCTAAAAAAATTATTATATTATATTGAGCCAAAAAACAAATAATAAATCATCTTTATTTTTTATTTATCTATTAATTCCAGCAATAATTCTAATACATACTAATGCTTGGTTCTGTCATATCAGCCATATCGTAATTCAAAATAAAAAGTTATATATTATTATAAATATAATTACAATTTCACAAAATCTATCTCTAAATAAATAAATAAAAAGAAATAACCATCGGCAACCACCTCCAATAAATATTATAAATACTTGTTAATTGACAAATTTATTATTAAATTATTAGATTATTCATATAAAAATCAAAAATACAAACCAAAAAAAATTAAGGTGCAAGCAATAAAAAGAGAAAAGTAATGAAACCTTTCCTTTCACTTTTGTAATTTCCATTAAAAGAACAACAAGTGACGATCAAAAATAGAGACAAGTCTGTCATGTGTTTATACACAAAGCGAATATATTTGTAATAAATAAATAAACTAACTAATAAATTAAATTATTAATAATAATCTCAATGTCTTCTGATAATATATTTAAAAATAAATGAAAAAGGGATGGAATATGGTTTTCACTAATAAAAACAACATATATAGTATATGTGTGAGTGTATATGTAAAGGAAGTTTCTAATTATATAAAAGTAATCAATTACATATATTTAATCAATAAAAAAAAAATCATAGAAAAAATAATTCATATAATAATGAGTGGTAAATTAATAACGAATGGTATTAATGATGTTTATTTGCAACATTCATTATTGCCACCCTTTGCATCAATTGGTACCGTATTGGACCCAATTCTAGATTGACCTCCAACCTTAATACCATGCGCCTGGATGAAAATTAAAAATACTCATTATCACTATTATTAACTTTCAAATGGAATTATAATAATAATTGTACAAAAAAAAATCTATGTAAACCTCATTTGTAACATCAAATATTGATTCTTTGATTTTCCTATAAATATCTTGAGCTGGAATATTAAATGCCTGTAATAAATAAATAATAAATAATAATTAATTGGTTATTTAATTGGAAGTAAATGTAATTATAAATTTTTATTACCTTTTCAACATTTTCTGCAGTTTTTGCAGAAGCTTCTATAAAAAATAAATTATTCTGCCTGGCAAACTTTTCACCTTCCTCATAAGAAACAGCACGTTTAGTTTCAAGATCCTTCTTATTACCAATAAGCATTATTGTAGTGTTAGAATTGGAGTGCTGACGAGCATCCTCCAACCAAATATGTAGATGTTCAAAAGTTTCACGTCTTAAAATAAAAAATAATCAATATATATTTATATATTTTTCCAATATAAGATTAATTAATGGATACCTGGTGATATCGTAAACTTTAAATTTATATACATATATATTTTTAAAAAAATAAATTTAGTAAATGTTTAATATAAAATTATTATCACAATAAATAAAAATAGAGATTAAATTGTCCCAGAATTAAGAGATTTGGCCAAAAGATCTTTGTCAAAGTTTAATTCCGGTAACAATATTTTTATCCCAACAGGGATAAACAAATAATCAATTCAATTGTCATTTAATTAAATGCACATTTTAATTTTAGTAATAAACAAATAATCAATCCAATTGTCAAGTAAATGAATAATAAATTTCAATTGTCAATTGATTAATTAAATGCATAATGCTTTTCTTAAGTACAGTGTGTAATGAAAAAAATTGACCTCCAATGATGCAAAATTCAAAAGCATACAGTTTCGCGAATAAGTAATTAAATCCCATCCAATTAAATCAAACAATCATACTAAACCCCTGTGTTGTAAAAACAAAATTTTTGAACCATCAATCTTAGTTTGGTCAACATAAAAAAATGTCATCAAACAAGTTCGATTTGCAACGTTCAACACTTTTTTATTATTGGAACCAAGGAATACATTCTCCAAAGGAACTTCACACAAAACTAACATTCCCCTATCAACAGTCAAATATAATATTAAAAAATAAAAGAAACCGGGATGTTTCACATAAGGGAGGTAATGGCCATCTAAAAAAGATAGGATCAGCAATGATGCATGAGCTTGAGCAATACATTTGCAATGACAGTTCCACATCTTTGTGAACCCTAGCAATAAAATTATCCAATAATGAAAATTCTGTATTGCATATGGCTGTAGCAAGAAGATTGAAAGAGCTTGGCTACAAAAATGCACTTCCAACTGGTACCCCAATGCTCACAGTTAATCACAAGGCAAGACGAGTTGAATGGGCTAGGAATCACCTAAATGATATTTGGGAAAGGACCTTGTTTTCTGATGAAACTGCCTTCCATCTGTTTAGGAACACAACAAAATGATGGTATAGGGGTCCAAAACCTATTCGGTCACTTCCTAAAGACCGACAAAAAGTCTTTGCCTGGGGTGGGTTTTGTGTTAAAGGGAAGGCTAGCTTGTTTTGCTTTACTGAGATCATGAATGGAGAGTTTTATGTTGAATTTTGCGCCAGCACCTTCCAGAAATCCAAAGGATGCTTGGTAGGTAGTGGAGATTCCAACAAGACAATGACCCAAAGCACACTAGTTGGGTTGCCAAAAATTTCCTTGATGAGTACTTCCCTGAAGTCATCGATCGGCCAGCTAACAGCCCAGACCTTAACCCCATAGAAAACCCATGGAGCATTGTTAAACATAATGTAGAAAAGCATATGCCAGCAAATATTAGCAAGTTGCGGCAGTATTTGGTCAAGGAATGGGAAAAAATTCCAAGTCCTATGTTGTCTAACCTTGTTTCGTCAATGAATAATCATTGCCAGATGATAATTGATAGTAACGGCAAATGAATCAATTATTAATATATATATCAATAAATTACTTGGTTTTAGGCTTTTAAACAAGCTATTGTATGCTCAATTTAAATAAATATTTATTCAATTATTATAAATAAACGGAGGTCAATTTTTTTCATTACACACTGTAATTAAATAATCAATTAGTTAAATGCGCAGCACTTTTGTTTTTAGTAATAAAAAAAATAATCAACTCAATTAAATGCATGTTTTATTTTTAGTAATAAACATATCAATGATACAATCTAAAAAACAGGATAAATGATAATAATATTAAATAGCATCTTTAGCTAATAAACAATAAACAATTCAATTGTCAATTAATTAATAATAAAATGATGCTTTTCTTATAAAAAGTAAACAAATGATGTGATTTTTTCAATCTTTTCAAAAAAAAATTTATTCAAATTTCCTTCCAATTTCCTTTGGCAAATAATACAATATCATCATCCATTATAAGAAATCAAAAGAACATTTTAAACCAAAAAAACAACTTTTTTTCTCAACCATTTTTTTTCATGATTAGAATTTTGTCAATTCTGTTTTATCATTTCAATGTTAATACATACAAGCAAACGAAAAGCTCCCAGTGATGACAAAGTAGAGATTCTTGCAAAAAAACACAAAAATATTAATATAGAAACAGATATACCATATGCAGAATCTTCTAAAAATGCAGCTAAAAGAAAAGCAAATGAGGACATAAACAAAGAACAACAACAAAAAAAATCAAGTAAATATTTACCATTTATCTGCCTTTATTTTTTTAGGAATATCCACTTAATATATTTTTTTAAATATCTAGAATGTCCTTGTCCAACTTGTAAGGGGACTGATCATTCACATTCTTCAAGCAACCTTTGTAAATTTCAAAAACATCATGCATCCAAATCTGTTCAAGAAAAAAACACAAAATACAAACAATGCACAGTAAAAACTGGACTTGGAGGATTCCTTAAAGATAAAGATCTTGAGCCTGCAATCCAAAGTGCTGTTGAAAGAATGACTCAAATTGTTTTTGAAGGCTCTTGATTGGCTAACCAAACAGCACTTTATCACGTGACCCTTGTAAGGCTGTGGGCAAAACCTCTTAATGACTGTCGAAACTCTGTCGAAACTCTAATGAACAATTAATGTGTAACCTGTCGAAACTCTGATGA